GGAAAGGAATAGGTGAAGCTGCAGAATACTGAGTAATGGTAGTAATGTGTTTTGCAGGTGATGGTGAAGTTCCAGTTGCCATCTGGCGAGGAGAAAGTTGTTGCTTATGAACCACTGAAGATGCTCGACCTGCTACCGGCCTGGGTGAGTGCAATACATTAATTGAATTCCTTTTTTTTTCTTTTCTTTTTTGCAAAACATTAAACTTTATTATAGTAGCTGGCGTGTGATCGATGAGTTGGATACCTGGCTCGGCCCGGTAAATTTTTCTCACTAAGTTTTTGGAGACCCCCAAAGTCATCCCTCCTTTAGGGTTTAGAGTTTAAGGTCTCTGGCCCACCCGCAGTCCCCTGGGAAGCTTCTGACCTTGTCCGCAGTCCCCTGGAAAGCTTCTGTGGGACAACCCCAGTCCCAATAGAACTATATAGTGGAACTGGTAGCATGTACCCTGGCCTGGATCCAGTATAGATATGAATTGCAGCGTATATGGTGTATCTATTATTACTGGAATATTCGAATTATTGTAATATTCTATCGATTAAGTACTCTATGTATCATTAAGTACCATATCTGTCTTTTATCTCTTGTTTTGATGTAAGTCGGTTCACTCTCTTTGAAAGAATTTTTCCTTGTTCACTTAAAATAGGAGTCGAAGCTTCGCTCACCAACTGAAGGAAAACTGTGAGCAAGTCCTTTTGCCCTTTGTAGAAGAATGAGAAATGTTTCCCGTGTATCACTGTCCAGTCAACTTTTGGTCTTGCCCACCCATGGGTTCACGGGAATGTTTCTAAAAGGCCCGAACAAGGAGAAAAGAGTCATAAGGCTTGTTTATGAACAAGGACAACAGACCTGTAATTTGTTTATGAACAAGGACAACAGACCTGTAATTCACAAAAACGCAGGGCTATTTGCAGCATTGTATCTTGCTGAGATCTGTGGATCAGAAGCCTGACACGGACTCAGGCTGCTGAGGGACAGCAAGGGGGCCTGCCAAAGGTTACTCGTGATATGCGAGAGCGCGGATGCGGACCCTGTGTTTTGCCGATGTGGTTATATTAAATAAAGAATGTTTAAACTTAGTGAAGAGAACAAGCAGAAGCCGGTGTGGCGAGAGGAGGGGCAAGAAAAACCCAGCCAGCTGCCGCTATGCTGCGACACAAAAAACTGCCAGGGGGGGGAGAGTAGAAAGACATGGGGAGGGGTTTTGCTATGTGGATTCAGGGGAAGAAGGTATCTAGACTGAAAGATGCCTCAAATGCAGCTATAATGACCGTACGACGCGTACGTTGTATTCGGGGGAAGAAGGTAGCCATCCAACAGAGATGGACCAAAATTTTTTTTTTTTTTTTTTTGTGTGTGTGTGTGTTTTGGATCAGATATTAAACTGATCAGAACAGATACTACACTTGATCTTAGCCAAAAGGCCGACCAAACTACTATATATAGTATATACTAAATTGCGATCGGAGCCGAGGCAGAGAAATCCCTTGATCGAACTACCAAGGCCTCAAGGCAGTCAGATTCAGAATCCTGATACATATGATTCTGGGTTTACAACTTTACACTGCTTAATCTGGGTCGGGCCCACTAGAGGGAGTGATATGAGCATCTCCCTCTTGTTGGCCCATCCCTGCATGCTCCGGCCTATTGGTGGGGAGCGGCACCTGCTGAAAACCGGGTCCATCATCTCATTGTAGATTCTCTCAAACCTCTACCCCGGGGCTATTGAACCGCCAGTACCTTTCAGCTGCCGTTAATGAACGTATCCGAGGCCAATTACCGATGCTGCGGTAGGGCAAGCCAAAGAAAAAGGCTGCCTTTGCCATAAGGGCAAAAAAAAAAAAAAGAACGAGACGAGGGGAGGGTCGGAGCTCCAGTTGGGAGTGGACATCAATAGTCAGACGAAACGCGCCTGAAAAGCGAGCGCAGCAAAACAACAGAAGAGGAAAATAAACAATAAATAAATAAATGGAAACGCGCCTGGCACGTGGAACTGAAGAAAAGTGAAACGGTACTCACCTACGGCCTCACTGCGCTATCACCCAACGTACGAAATGAGATTGAATCTTTCGCTAGAACATGGAAAGATACACTGCCATATTTTTTGGTCTTTTGCGCTTGTGGTGAGCAGTCGAGCGAGTGTATCTTTCCATGTTCTAGCGAAAGATTCGATCTCATTTCGTAGGCTCGCTCGACTGCTAACCACAAGCGCAAAAGACAAAAAAATATGGCAGCGTATCTTCCCATGTTCTAGCAAAAGATTCAATCTCATCTCGCACGTGGGGTTCCTGGAGCAAGGCCTTCAATGTCTCGGCGGCGCGATTTGAGATCCAGCTGTCAGCTACATCAGGGGGCACGTTGTCAGTGGCGATTCTTCACACACGAATGTATCTGCTGCCCGTGTTTCTTTCTTTTTTTTTTCGGGCGTGCGGCCATGTGCCCATATTTCTTCGTTCTTTTTTTTTTTTTTCTGCGATTTTGCAGACACCAACAAAACAAAAAACGGTGGCAGACAGTTTGCTCTTCCCGTGCGCAGCCTGAAGCTGTGCCGACCCTGTGGGGGCACCTTCCGACATGCTCGGAGATAAAGAAAAAGGCCGGGAAAGGTACTGGCGGCTTAATACACTGTTTTGTCGAACCTTAAGCTTTTTTCTGCTCCAGAATGGATCGCCGTTAGGCTGGTAAGCGTGGCCTGCAGGTGTATGGCTGCATTTGTCGACAGAAAGGGTCCCGATACTGGGGGGTGAATCGTTGGTCCCGGTACTGGGGAGTGAATCGTTGGTCCCGGTACTGGGGGGTGAATCGTTGGCCCCATGAACGCGGAAATTCCTCTGAGCCAACAAGCTGTGGCCTTTGCGTTAATCGGGGAATACGATTCGCTCAATTTTGCTATGGTTAATTCACCGCCCAGCGGCCAAGTGGTGCTGGAAATATGCTCGAGAGTTATGGGACTTGTTTTTTTCCATGCATACCCTCCCTTCACACGACCACCTACTCCTCCATATTTTATTACGGATGTGCATTCGGCCTAACCCTCCTCTCTTATCCAGCCAAGCTGCGTCTCGGCTTGATACGGAAAGCTGTTCCGTGGATCGTAGGGAAGGAGAGGTGCAGGGATGTCAATGGGATGCTGCTGGACCCGGTTTCCAGCGGGTGATGATCCCCACCAATTGACCTGAGCAGACCATGGCGGGTACTGCTCTAGAAAAAGGAAAATCAAAAAGGAGAAAAGAGGAGAATAATAGAGAATATCATCGAGAAGTGCGAGACTTTGTATGATTATTGGTTGTCAGCTTTTCCGACTCTTTTCACGAGGGATTTCTTCTTATATTCTGACTGTTTTCGAGAGGGCTTTTCTTCTAAGGTGCTTCCAGTGCTTCTCCCTTAACCAAATCAGCTATCTGGCAATGCCACTGGCATGACAATTTGTCCGGTCATCCCTCGGACCCTCACCCATCCCAGTCCTATCTCAATACCATCTTCTCCGGAACATAGTGCACCCTAATTATGAATGTATACAAGCTATCTTTGTGTGCGTCATGTTCTGGTGAAGATGGTAGGGTTGGTTTTTCTCTCAGCTGAGTCAGCTCTCCCCAAATCGACAAAGGTGGGTAAATCCGAAATCGCAATGAAGAGTATGTATCCGTTGCTCGACCGTTCTGCTCCCTTGTGATCTGGCTTCTGGAAGACGGAATGGCCATGTCCACGCGTATTCAGATCTGTGAGGAAAAAAATCCGAAAAGTGTTTGATTACTTGTATATTATCCTGCCTGAATGTCCGTGGATTTTTTTTTTTTTTTTTTTTAATGTTTTTCTGAATTCAACGTCGCGAAAAGTGCATGCAGACTTACGTGGGGGACTATTTTGTTCTTTTTCTCTTGCTTCTTTTTGTGTCAGGCAATTACAATACACAAGTCGCAGGGAAGCGAGTATCCAGTTGTGCTCTTGCCGCTTTCGAACTCCCATGATCGCCTCTTGAGGTATGTTGGTCACAGCCTTATTTAGTGTCAATTTATTGTTTTCCAAATGTTTTTGCATAATAAAGCAAAGAAAACACAGGTCAGTCCTTTTCCTCCCCCTTTTTTGTTTTTTGAAACCAAACATCGGTCAACGGCCAACTACTATGGGGGCAATAAAAGTACCCCCTTGGTTGGAGACCGGCTGTAGATGGCTCCTGTCTGTTCTGCAGGAGCAGCACGTGCTGGAAAGGCCCGGGTTCAGCGTCCCCCATGTGGGCAAAAGGGTATCCATCCATAATCGGGGGAACCAATCCCTGTCAAACTCTACCTTCCCTTGACTTCCTTTGTCCCCTTTTCGCATAATTCGGGGAGCCTTGTCGCGGAACGAGTTTGTCCTTTGTGTTGGCCGGACCGGCCTGCCATTGATTGCATTGTTCCCTTTACCGCTGAAAAGGTAACATCCCCCCGATGAAGTACGCACTTCCATCGCATCCAAACTTTGAAACCCTCTCCTTGTCTTGTTTCTGCGACTAAAAAATATATATATATTTCAGCCGATGAGTCGGTGAAACTCCGACGAAACAGTTTGTCACAGCCCCTCGTTTGTTGTCCCCTTCTCTCTCTCTGCCTACGGTTTACCGGGCAGTTCTGTTTGTGACGATATATATATCGTACTTGCCTGCCTTCTCCCCTGGGCCCCTCTGTTCCAGAGGGGTCACACCATATCGAGATTTTCCTCCGTCGTTCCGCTGCTTTCGCGTCGATGGAGGACGCTAATGTCCACTTCACCTGGCCTTACTGGGGGTTAGGTCAGGTGAGGGGAGAGGGGGAGAGAACTCACCCAAAAGAGTCGACACAGCCGCCAGAACAAAACAAGCTCAGCTTATTTTATTTATGTATGCGCTCATGGGAAGGGCGTTTGGAGGAGGGTGACGGGGGGAGCG